CTGGTGTCTGAATAGCCTGCATTAGGGAAGACAAGGCTTTAAGGGAGGTGTGAGGGCAGTGGCCATGGCCATTGCAATGGGGCAGAATTGGATAGAAATGTCAGCAATGACTTCATGAATGGTTTCGGGCATGAGGAACAGGGAAGAATCAGAGATAACCTTGAGGTTGAGGCCTAACCAAGACAGAGAACCCCTCAGATATTGACGGATGATAATAGTTTTTTACTCTTTTTTTTTTTTTTTTTTTTTGAGGCGGGGTTTTGCTCTAGTTTCCCAGGCTGGAGTGCAATGGCGCGATCTCGGCTCACCGCAACCTCCGCCTCCTGGGTTCAGGCAATTCTCCTGCCTCAGCCTCCTGAGTAGCTGGGATTACAGACACGCGCCACCATGCCCAGCTAATTTTTTGTATCTTTAGTAGAGACGGGTTTCACCATGTTGACCTGGATGGTCTCGATCTCTTGACCTCGTGATCCACCTGCCTCGGCCTCCCAAAGTGCTGGGATTACAGGCTTGAGCCACCGCGCCTGGCCTCGTTTTTTACTCTTAACTTATGAATTCAGTTACATATGAAGACATCTGTCTAGAAATAGAGTTCAGGAGAGGATTTGTTGTGTTGGAGAAATCGAAGATCGTTGTTTCAAATGCTTAAAATCAGCTGGGAGTGGTGGCACACCCCTGTAGTTTCAGCTACTTACGAGGCTGAAGCGGGAGGATTGCTTGAGCCCAGGAGTTTAAGAGTAGCCTAGGTGGCACAGAGGACCTCATCTTCAAAAGAAAAAAGCGTAGGATCTATAGAGCCATGTAGAGTGAAGCTTTCAACCTTGTCTTCTCACAAGAAATCTTAATGCTCTCCTCTTTAACAGCATGAGTTCAAGTCTACATGTCAGCGTTTCTGGAGAATATGCTTCTAAACTGGAATGAGTGTGCTTTCAAGCATGGGGTGTTCTCAGATGGGACTGACCACATGAGCTTCCGTCCCAAAACATCTGTTCTCTTCCACAGCCCAGGACATGCCTCTAACCCCAGGCTCTTACTCATCCGTCTCGTGGTTTGTTCCCACAGAAGTTTTAGTTTCACCTTTCTAGGAACCCAGTCTTCCTGATTTGATTCTTCATTTGAATTTTTTTGTCTTTCTTTCTTTTTTTTAATTTTCTTCTGAGACAGAGTCTCACTCCAGGCTGGAGTGCAGTGGTGCAGTCTTGGCTCACAACAACCTCTGCCTTCCGGGTTCAAGCAATTCTCATGCCTCAGCCTCCCTAGTAGCTGGGATTACAGGCACGCGCCACTTTGCCCAGCTGATTTTTGTATTTTTGGTAGAGACGAGGTTTTGCCATGTTGGCCAGTCTGGTCTCGAACTCCTGACCTAAAGTGATCTGCCTGCCTCAGCCTCCCAGAGTGCTGTGATTACAGGTGTGAGCCACCGCACCTGGCTTGATTTTTTTTTTCTTTTGTTAGATTCCTTTAAAGAAGATAATTGCCTGAAATTTCATTTTTGCTACTTGACTATCCACAAAGGTAGCATAAGTCAACATTCTAAGGTTTTTCCTCTTGTATTAGCCACCTTAGGTAGATTATGAGAATCCTATGTGATTTCTGTGTTAATTTCTCTTCCGCTGGTAAATAGAACTTCACCGTCCTCCTCCCCACCTCCCAGATCAACACCTTCTTTTGCAGTGCTTGGTCTCAGTGATCAGGACAGGTAGTGGCATTTTGAAGCACCCTTGCCATTCCAGATTATTCATACCCCATTATATGGACAGTCCCCCAACCGTCGGATTCACCTTTCACTAATTTTCTCACTAAATCCTCTAGGATTCTGTGTTTCAACAAAGGTTGCATTTCCCATCCAGGTAGATTCTGTTTTTACTGAGAAGACTGAAGCTCAAAGACATCTAGTAACTAGTGTCATAGAGCTGGGGTGAGGCAGAGCCACACTGAAATCCATCTTTTCCAGCCTTCTCCTCTTTCCATGACGATACAGCTGGGAGTATCTTCCAAGCACTGAGGCCGTGATTTTCTTTCCCAAGCTCAAAGTTGAGATCTGCCTCTCACAGTAGAAAGGAATATCTTGCAGCCCCTCATGGGATACTAGTGCCCAGAACAGTCTTTTTCCTGCCCCTTTTTGATTTCGGCCAACTTTAATAGACTTAACAGGTGGTGCATTCTTATTCTCTTTGCTGTTTGGGGGCTTTCCTCACTCACACCGTTCTGCTTGTGGCTGCCTGAGAGCCGCCTCTGAATCCCTTCCATCCTGTTCCATCTTAGCAACAAAACAGCTGCATGCTCAGCTTGACCAACGACAAAAGCACAAACACTTCCTTCTCAGTTTTCCTTTCTATGTTTAGTTTTATTCCCATGCTAGGTTTTCTTTGGCTTTCTACAGCTGCCATCTTGGGGAGCTGCCCATGCCCTCAGAAGTGAATGCTGCATTTAAACCCTTTACAGAGCATTCATTCAATCTATATCCCATACTGTCTTTTCTCTCATTGCTCCTTAGCTACAGGTATGGTGGTTATTGTTTTTCTTGCCACAGTGCCCCTCTAGGTGAATTGACTGTTGTGTAGCTGAAGCCAATTAGGAAGAGGGAAACAGAAACACACACAGGTGTCTGTGTAGGAAAGGTAGGTCATGGAGATTTGGCCACTTATCCAGAGATTATCCAACGAGTCAGATCATTATAGTAACTCTCTTCAGCTTTCTGTACTCACTTCTATTAGCTATCTATTGATATCCCACTACGCAGATATGGAGGAAAACTGACTATTTCCCATAGTGCATCAGTCGCAGCCCTCAAAGGGATGGTAGTAGGAACAGAAAATGTGAAGCGTGGAAGGGACTCAAGATTCACCTCTAAGGCCATCATAGTTCTCATGCGGAAGCCAGGATCACAGAGACAAGAAAACCCTTTTTAGCCTCTGTGTCCATTTCTTGGCCAGTCTTGTCCATCCTAACTAGAACCAAAAGAGAAGAAGGAAAGGCACACAAGAATACCTGGACGGCATGGTGGGTTTTGAGCCAATCAGAAGTGATAGCAAGGCCAGGCGTGGTGCCTCACGCCTGTAGTCCCAGCACTCTGGGAGACCGAGGTCAGCAGATCACTTGGGGTCAGGAGTTTGATACCAGCTTGGCCAATGTGGTGAAACCCCATCTCTACTAAAACTACAAAAATTAGCCAGGCATGGTGGCAGGTGCCTGTAGTCCCAGCTACTCGGAGGCTGAGGCAGGAGAATCACTTGAACCGGGGAGGCAAAGGTTCTGGTGAGCCAAGATCGCGCCACTGCACTTCAGCCTGGGCAACAGAATGAGACTGTGTTTCAAAAAAAAAAAAAAAAAAAAAAGAAGTGATAGCAAAGCCAAGACTGCAGCTGGAATCTGCCTCCTACTGAGATGTGGGGGACCAGTCTTGAGCAGGAGAACCTCTGAAACTTGATTTTACTAATACTGCAAATAGCTATCACTTGTAAGTACAGATTGTTTGCCAGGCACTGGTCTAAGCATTTAATCTTATTTAAGCCTCATAGCAGTCCTATGAGGTAGGTATAATTACTGTCCCATTTTTCCAAATGAGGAAACAAAAGCATAAGTTAATTACTTTGTTCAGGGTCACGCAGGCCTGAACAAAGTGAGGGCTGGGATTCAAACTCAGTCCATCTGCCTCCAAAGCAGCCCCTACTGCCTGCCTTTAACCAAGGATATAGTTATTCATTCATGACGATGTTTAATACCATTGTTATGTGGGTTTTTTGTTTGTTTTTGTTTTGAGACATTCTTGCTCTGTTGCCTAGGCTGGAATGCAAAGCTATGATCTTGGCTCACTGCAACCCCCGCCTCCTGGGTTCAAATGATTCTCTTGCCTCGGCCTCCCGAGTAGCTGGGACTACAGGCACCCGCCACCATGACCGGTTACTTTTTGAATTTTGTTTTGTTTTGTTTTTGAGACAGGATCTCACTGTGTCACCCAGACTGGAGTGTAATGGCATGAACTCAGTTCACTGCAACCTCTACCGCCCAGGCTCAAGCAATTCTCCTCCCTCAGCCTCCTGAGGAGCTGAGATTACAGGTGTATGCCACTAGCGCCCAGCTAATTTTTGTGTCTTTAGTAGAGATAGGGTTTCACCACGTTGGCCAGTCTTGAACTCCTGACCTCAATGATCCACCTGCCTTGGCCTCCCAAAGTTCTAGGATTACAGGCATGAGCCACCGCACCTGAGACCTTTCTTCTGTAGATCCAGAGAAAGCAGATGTCAAGGGAAATGCAATTTATTAGCTATTAAGTGATAAGAAAATCTCCCCTCTTAATGATTATGCCATCTCCCAGGTCTCCAAGAGCCAGGGCAAGTCACTGTAGCCAACTTGAGAAGCAAGTTCATGTATGAGGCCACTTTGGGAAGCCAAGGCGGGCAGACTGTTTGAGCCCAGGAGTTCAAGACCAGAGTAGACAACATAGGGAAATCCCGTCTCTACAAAAAAAAAAAAGTACAAAATTTAGGAAGGCATTGGCCAGGCGCAGTGGTTTCATGAAGTCAGGAGATCGAGATCATCCTGGTCAACATGGTGAAACCCCGTCTCTATTAAAATATAAAAAAATTAGCCGGGTGTGGTGGCACGTGCCTGTAGTCCCAGCTACTCAGGAGGCTAAAGCAGGGGAATCTCTTGAACCGGGAGGTGGAAGTAGATCACACCACTGCACTCCAGCCTAGGCAACAGAGCCAGGCTCCGTCTCAAAAAAAAAAAAAAAAAAATTAGCCTGGTGTGGTAGCATTCGCCTGTAGTCCCAGCTAGTAAGGAGGTTGAGGTGGGAGGATCACTTAAGCCTGGGAAGTTAAGGCTGCAGTGAGCTGTGATCTCACCACTGCCCTGGCGACCGTGCAAGACCTGGTCTCAGAAAAAAAAAGTTCAGGGATTTGGCCTCCGTGCGAAGCAGGAATGCTAGCAATACCTACCATGGCCACTAGATGCCGCCAGTGTTCCACATTTGGCATACCTAGATGAAATTGCCAGCAGACATTCATCATTCTGAACTTTGTCTTTATTTTGTTACAGGTACTCTCCCCTAACCTCACTTAAGTTCTACAAGTGCAGTGTTGGAAACAGAAAGGAACTGAAAGCATTGAAACGGGAGGGGCAGAGAAATGAGAATGGATATTTATTGAGGAGACAGAGAAAGAAAAAAAAATATCTAAATTTAAGGTCAGAACTGGGGCCTTGCATTCAGGACGAGAGGCTTGAGTGGCAAGGATAAGAACTAGATCGAATGGCAAGTCAACCAAAAGGGAAACCCAGGGGACCATGAGCCATTGGCAGCCATGCTGCCACACATGCAGCCCTCCGCACATGTCAGCCTTGGGCGGGTCTCAGCACTGGCACTCAGGGCTGGGCCACCCCAGGGCCAACCTGCAGTTAAGCAAGCCACTAATGAAGCATGATGACACACTCACCAGGGCATGAGTGGTGTCTCATCACGGCCAGGGCACACCCCAGACCCACCAGATGACCCTTTTCTTGTAAGGATTCCCAAGTCTGTGACTAATGCTAATTAACCCTGACTCACGTAGCACAGAGCACAAAGAGGTCATTATCTCCACTGGAAGGAGTGGGTAAACTGAAGTGTAGAGTGGGGAAGCAGCTTTGCTCCATCAGTGTCACCAGGTCAGGGGGTGATTCCTGCCCTTCTCAAATGCCCGTGAGGCTGTCCTTGGTAATCAGGAGTAGACACTTCCAGGTGGGGTTGTCCAAGGGCGGAGGGGATAGGGCCCTTCCCCACTGCTGTTTCCACGTGGGTCAGAGCCACAGAACTGGAGGCAGAGTTGCAGACTAGTTGATCTAATCACTGAGGAATCCGAAGGCCAGAGTGGGGAATGAAGGCCAAGATCACACAGCAGGCTGTGGCTGAGCCAGGCCTAGAATCCTGAGGCTGAATGCTGAGTTTCCTTCTTGTACTACAGTCATGATGACAGAGCAGAAGAGAGGCAGTACCTGTGAGAGTTAGGTGCACCAGCCCACTAGCCAGGAGTACTGGCACACACCTATAGTCCTATACGAGGGAGGCTGAAGTGGGAGAATTGCTTGAGCCCAGGAGTTCGAGACTGCAGTGAGTTATGATTATACCACTGCACTCCAGTCTGGGTGACAGAGCAAGATACTTTGTCTATAAAAAAGAAAAATAGGCTGAGCGCAGTGGCTCACATCTGTAATCCCAGCACTTTGGGAGGCCAAGGTGGGTGGATTACCTGAGGTCAGGAGTTTGAGACTAGTCTGACTGACATGGAGAAACCCCATCTCTACTAAAAATACAAAATTAGCCAGGTGTGTTGGCGCAGGCTGGGAATCCCAGCTACTTAGGAGGCAGGGGCAGGAGAATCACTTGAACCTGGGAGGCGAAGGTTGTGGTGAGCTGAGATCATGCCATTGCACTCCAGCCTGGGCAACAAGAGCGAAACTCCATCAGAAAGAGAGAGAGAAAGTGAGGGAGGGAAGGAGGGAGGAAAAAAGAACAAAGGGGGAAAAAAGCACCAACTCAAGGTCGGGTAGCTTGGCAGGTGGATCTGGCAGGCTCTAGGTTCGATAGATAACCTGAGTTCAGATCCTGGATTCACCCGGTCTCCAGCTGTGTGTTTCTGAGCCTGTGACTCAGCCTCAGTTTCCTCATCTGTAAAATAGGGATAATACGAGTGGCTGTGTCACAGGAATGTTTTGAGAATTCAGTGACATACATGAAGTGCTTAGAGCAGTGCCTGGCACATGCGAAGTGCTTGGGAAACATTAGCTGTTTGTTTAAGCTGGCTGTTTGTTAAGCCCAGTTGCCTGTCTGGCCTATTGTCTCCAGTCTGGCTGGTCTTTTGGGTCTCCTGAAGGAAGGGAGCACCAAAACTTTAGGTGCTGAGATCATGAAAAAGACATATACCAGTATCTCCTCACCATATTGTATGTGGTCTAAGTAGAGCTCTTTCAGCCCAGTGGCCTCCATGGCATCATCAGACAGCACAGGTGCTGGTGGATCAGCTCCAAGCCCAGCTTTGGAAGCATCAGGAAGCACCTTGGCAACAAGACATAAACCAAGAGAACCACATTCCTGCCAGTCTCCATGGCCCTGGCAGGCCCACTCTCAGGAAGTGGTAGTACAATGATGACAGGAAAGCTAATGACAAGCATCACCCTGCTGGGCTGAGAATACTGGCTTGTTTGCCCAGCACAGCTTACCTGAGTCACCCATCATGGATCCTGCAGCCACCTGGGCCTGGAGCTGGGCCAGCAGGCTGCCTGGAGTCTGGAACACCCTCTGCGGGCTGAACCTGGCTAGGGCAGGCACTTCCTGCCTGTCTCCTCCTCAGAAAGTGGGTCGAGGCAGTTTGGCTCCATAGATGTGGCTCCGAACAGTGAAGAGCCCGGCAGGGCCTGACAACAGGCCAGAGACGCAGGGCCCCTTCTGTGGGGAACAGAACGTGAGCTGAAGCCTTAGAGTCTTTGGAAAATCAGCTCCACTGATCAGAGACGGGCCAGGCAGCAGCTTCCCCCTCTCCTTCAGCCCATGCCACACCAGTAGCCACTCTCTATGCCCCACTGGTCCTCAGGGGCCCCCAGGCCTTCTTGCCAAACCCCAGCACTGCCCAGGCCCACATAGCCAGTCAAGAGCGACCGGGCTCCAGCCTGGCTTGGTGGCTTGCCCTTGTAATCTTAGCACTTTGGGAGGCTGAGGCAGGCGGATCACCCGAAGTTGGGAGTTTGAGACCAGCCTGGCCAACATGGAGAAACCCCTTCTCTACTAAAAAAGATACGTATATAAAATTAGCTGGGCAGGGTGGCACATGCCTGTAATCCCAGCTACTCGGGAGGCTGAGGCAGGAGAATCGCTTGAACCTGGGAGGCAGAAGTTGTGGTGAGCTGAGATCGCACCCTTGCACTCCAGCCTGGGCAAAAAGAGCGAAACTTCATCTTAAAAAAAAAAAAAGAGTGATTGGGCTCAACTCTCACTCTCAACCTGGGGATTTTCCAAAGTGAAATGAGGAACAAAACAGGTGCTATGTTTCACAGTACTGTGTTTTAAAATATGAATAAAATTGGAAAATACTGGCCAGACGCAGTGGCTCACCCCTGTAATCCCAGTACTTTGGGATGTTGAGGTGGGCTGATCATGTGGTCAGGAGATTGAGACCATCTGGTCAGCATGGTGAAAACCCGTCTCTACTAAAAATACAAAAATTAGCCAGGTGTGGTGGCGCACGTCTGTAATCCCAGCTATTCGAGAGGCTGAGGCAGGAGAATCCCTTGAACCTGGGAGGTGGAGGTTGCAGAAAGCCAAGATTGTGCCACTGCATTTCAGCCTGGCGGCAGAGCGAGACTTCGTCTCAAAAAAAAAAAAAAAAGGAAAAGACTTTTTCAGACCAGGCTCAGTGGCTCACATCTGTAATCCTAGCACTTTGGGAGGCCAAGGTGGGTGGGTCACCTGAGGTCAAGAGTTTGAGACCAACCTGGCCAACATGGGTAGAAACCCTGTCTCTACTAAAAATACAAAAATCAGCCAGGTATGTTGGTGGGCACCTGTAATCCCAGCTACCTGGGAGGCTGAGGCAGGAGAATCGCTTGAACCCGGGAGGCGGAGGTTGCAGTGAGCCAAGATTATGCCACTCCAGCCTGGGCAACAGAGTGAGACTCCATCTCAAAAAAAGGAAATACTTTTTCAAAAGTTATAAAAAGTGAGAGTGAAGGTACCCTGCCCCTTCTGACATTTGCGGGGACACACTGCCACACCTGGCTAATTTTGTGTATTTTAGTAGAGATGGTTCCACCGTGTTGCCCAGGCTGGTCTTGACCTTCTGAGCTCAGGCAATCCACCTGCCTGGGCCCCCTAAAGTGCTGGGATTACAGGTATGAGCCACTGTACCCGGCCAGGGGTAGGCTTATTTATACACTCCCCAGCATTGGCAGGTAAGGGACATTCAGCATCATATCTATTGATATGAAAATCATATTACTGTATTTACCCTGTGGGTAGAGATGAATGTGCAGCCCTCACCTGGCTTCAGGGCTGGGATTTTGCAGAGTGGATATTGAAGGACCTGCCTGGTCTAGGCCTCGCTTCCTCTTCATTCACCACAGGGTGACTGAGTGTGAGTTCACAAAGAGAAGGAAGATACGAGAAAGAGCATACCTGAAGGGGAGTCAAGTGTTTCAAATGAGGCTGGGTGTGGTGGCTCCCGCCTGTAATCCCAGCACTTTGGGAGGTCATGCTAGGCAGATCACTCCAGTCAGGAGTTCGAGACCAGCCTGGCCAACATGGTGAAACACCATCTCTACCAAAAATGCAAAAATTAGCCAGGCATGGTGGTGCAAGTAATCCTGGCTACTCAGGAGGCTGAGGCAGGAGAATCGCTTGAACCCAGAGGCTGCACAGTGAGCAGAGATCACGCCACTGTACTCTAGCCTGGGTGCAGAGTGAGACTTGGTCTCAAAAAAAGTTTCAACTGGATCATAGTTAACTTTGAAATATTCATTAGAAATTCATGGCTGAATGCTGTGGCTCATGCCTGTAATCCTAGCACTTTGGGAGGCTGAGGTAGGTGGATCACCTGAGGTCCAGAATTTAAGACCAGCCTGGCCAACATGGTGAAACCCCCTCTCTATTAAAAATACAAAAGTTGGCCAGGCGAGGTGGCTCATGCCTGTAATCTCAGCACTTTGGGAGGCCGAGGCAGGTGGATCACAAGGTCAGGAGATTGAGACCATCCTGGTTAACCCAGTGAAACCCCGTCTCTATTAAAAAAATACAAAAATTAGCCAGGCATGGTGGCATGGGCCTGTAGTACCAGCTATTCAGGAGGCTGGGGCAGGAGAATCGCTTGAACCTGAGATGCAGAGGTTGCAGTGAGCTGAGATCACACCCAGCCTGGGTGACAGAGCGAGACTGCTTCTCAAACAAAACAAAACAAAAACAAAAATTAGCTGGACATGGTGGCAGCTGCCTGTAATCCCACGACTTGGGAGGCTGAGGCAGGAGAATTGCTTGAACCTAAAATGCAGAGGTTTCAGTGAGCTGAGATCTCACCACTGCACTCCAGCCTGGGTGACAGAGCAAGACTCCATCTCAAAACAAACAAAAAAGCCGGGAGCAGTGGCTCACGCCTGTAATCCCAGCACTTTGGGAGGCCAAGGAGGGTGGATCACCTGAGATCAGGAGTTCAAGACAAGCCTGACCAATATGGTGAAATCCTTTCTCTACTAAGAAAAATAAAAAAAAAATTAGCTGGGTGTAGTGGCGGGCACCTGTAATCCCAGCTACTCAGGAAGCTGAGACAAGAGAATTGCTTGAACCTGGTAGACAGAGGTTGCAGTGAGCCAAGGTGCAGCCACTGCACTTTAGCCTGGGTGGCAGAGCGAGACTCCATCTGAAAACACAAACAAACAAAAAGAAATTCATGGCAAGACATTAAGAAAGCACTTCATGCCATGGGTTTCATCATTCTGTTTTGCATATATTTGAATTTTCCATAATAAAAATTAAAAAAGAAAGCAGTTCAGCATTTGAGCGTGCAGCTTCAGGAAGAAGATGTGTTAGAAGTGGAAACTTATGCTATTAAAGTCATGGCTGAGTCAGTCACCTATGAGCATTAAGGGATCAAGCCCAGGGAACCCTGCATTATAGATTCAAAAGATAGGCCAGATGGCAGGATGTGGTGGCTCACCCCTGTAATCCCAGCACTTTGGGAGGCTGAGGCAGGTGATCACCTCAGGTCAGAAGTTCAAGACCAGCCTGGCCAACATGGCAAAACCCCATCTCTACTACTAAAAAAAAAAAAAAAAAAAAAAGTACAGGCTGGGCGTGGTGGCTCATGCCTGTAATCCCAACACTTTGGGAGGTTGAGGCAGGTGGATCACCTGAGCTTGGGGGTTCGAGACCATCCTAGCCAACATGGTTGGAATCCTGTCTCTATTAAAAATATAAAAATTAGCCGGGCATGGTGGTGCATTCCTGTAATCCTAGCTATTCGGGAGGCTGAGACAGGAGAATTGCTTGAACCTGGGAGGCAGAGGTTGCAGTAAGCCGAGATCACGTCATTGCACTCTGGCCTGGAGGACAGAGCAAGGCTCTGCCTCAAAAAAAAAAAAAAAATGTAGCCAGGTATGGTGGTGACCACCTATAGAACCAGCTACTTAGAAGCTGAGGATGAAGGATGGTTTGATCCCAGCAGATCAAGGCTACAGTGAGCCATGATTGCACCACTACACTTCAGCCTAGGTGACAGATGGAGACCCTGCCTCAAAAAAAGAAAAGAAAAGAAAAGAAAAAGGCAGTCTTGTCCTTTCAAGCTAAAAGGAAATCTTTACATTCTAAACTGGTCTAGGGAGGAGCCAGCCTTCCATCAGGGTGGCAGAATAAGAGTGTCAATTTCTATCTAGCTGAAGGCCTGGGACCTTCTGGCAGGTAGGGCCAGAGAGCTTCAAGGGTGCAAGTGGGGACTCAGGGTGCCACCCTCTGATAAGCTTTTATTTGAGATAGGGTTTCACTCTTGTCATCCAGTCTGGAGTGCAATGGAGTGATCTCCACTCACTGCATCCTCTGCCTCCCAGGTTCGAGTGATTCTCCTGTCTCAGCCTCCTGAGTAGCTGGGATTACAGGCACCCACCATCACACCTGGCTAATTTTTGTATTTTTAGTAGAAATGGGGGCCGGGCGCAGTGGCTGAAGCCTGTAATCCCAGCTACTCAGGAGGCTGAGGCAGGAGAACTGCCTGAACCCAGGAGGCGGAGGTTGCGGTGAGCTGAGATCGCGCCATTGCACTCCAGCCTGGGTAACAAAAGCGAAACTCCATCTCAAAAAAGAAACGGGGTTTTGCCATGTTAGCCAGGCTGGTCTCAAACTCCTGACCTTAAGTGATCCACCCACCTTGGCCTCCCAAAGTGCTGGGATTACAAGTGTGAGCTACCATGCCCGGCCTTGTTTTCTTTATAAGATTTCTTCCCATTTTTCTTACTCATTTTCTTTGTCTCTCAGCTCTACACCTACATTTTTTTTTTCCCACTGCTTCTGTGCCTCACTCGCCCCGGGATGGGCATGGCTGCTCACCCCCTGGGCCTCCGAGGGCTGCTCTACCCCTCCATTCTGGCCATGGGGAGCAGAGGAGCTCAGGGTGGGCAAAGCTCAAGAGGACCACACCTACATTTCTAACCACCTCCTAGATGTTTCCATCTGGATGTCCTGTTTTCACCTCAATCTCAATATGACCAGAAGCTGCCTCCTGTTCCTGTCAGTGTTGTTTTTGTTTTTGCTTTCAAATGGAGTCTCACTCTGTCACCCAGGCTGGAGTACAGTGGTATGATCTCAGCTCACTGCAACCTGCACCTCCTGGTTTCAAGCAATTCTCCTGCCTCAGCCTCCTGAGTAGCTGGGATTATAGGTGCCCACCATCACACCTGGCTAATTTTTGTATT